CCCCGCCCCACTCTGCCCTCTAGCACGGCTTCCCTGGGCCATTGAGCCCGACTGGCTGGGAGCCTCAGGGCACCTGCTAAAAGCTGGTGAGGGAAAGAAGCTCCTGTCCCAGACAAGGGCAGGTCCTCAAGCCGATGTGCCATCCTGTAAGACCCAGTCTAGCCCGGACAGCGCAGGAAATGGCCACAGCCAAGGACTTACAGATGTTCACAGCTCCTACTCCATCTCCGGCCAACCTGGGGGCAGAGGAGAGAGACCTGTGAGAGCGACTCTTTCCTCAGAGCTGGAGGAAGCAGTCCCAGGCCCCTCCATCCAGGCACCAGGCAAGACCAGTATTCCTTCCTCTGTCGCCACTAAGGGAAGGCTACGTGACCTTGGGCAATGTCTCAGAGCCTCCATTTTCTCACTTCTAAACTGGGGCCAACCTAGTCCCAACCTCAGACTTGTTTGTGAGGGCTGAATAATATCATTTACCTAGAGCCCTGGGCACACAGGACTCGGTGGATGGGAACTGTTATTATTTATGAAGACAGCGGCCTCCCCTAACCAAATCATAAAATCCTCAAAGCAGGTTGTGGCTTATTGATTCTTGGATCTCTGGCCCCTTGCGTGAAGTCTGGCGTGTAGTAATTGCTCAGTCTGTATTGAAATAATTAGTGAATTGGAGATTTCACGAGGGTCGCTGCGGCAGGGACGGAGGACGGAGCAGAAGGTGGTCGGGATGGCTTTAAGCAGACTATACTGGAAATAGAAAAGCCAAGGGAGACAGCTGGACATGTTTGTTTTGTGACTCACTCCATTGTCACCAAGCCCTTGGCCTTAGGGTTGAGTTTACTCTGCAGTGGGGAGGGGAGACCTCACTTTGGTAGAAGGAGTGAGGAGAGCCCAGCTGGCCTCATCACCCCCAAATCCAGGAAGGGGGAGGAGCAAAGGCCAAGTTCAAGAAAAGGATATGCCAGGAAGCTTCCAGGCCCCTTGCTCAACTGGGCCCTTCAAGCGCTGGGAGTTGCTAACAGTTGTGGGTGGGGAGGGAAGCCAGGTTGCAATTAGGCAGTGATTTCATGAAACAGTTTCTGGTGCCATGCTTGAAGAACTCAGAAGGAAGAGACCTGAATGTCTAAGACTCTAGTGATTCGTGTGATTTTTCTTTTCTCATCCTAACTAAATATTTGTTTTTGTGCAATTGTGTATTTGTAACTCTGTATTCTTTTAATTTTTTTTTTTTTTTCAACGTTTATTTATTTTTGGGACAGGGAGAGACAGAGCACGAACGGGCGAGGGGCAGAGAGAGAGGGAGACACAGACTCGGAAACAGGCTCCAGGCTCTGAGCCATCAGCCCAGAGCCCGACGCGGGGCTCGAACCCACGGACCGCGAGATCGTGACCTGGTTGAAGTCGGACGCTTAACCGACTGCGCCACCCAGGCGCCCCTGTAACTCTGTATTCTTAAAAGAAGGCACCCCAAAGTGCATGAGTTCCTAAGACCACAAATCCTAGACCTGCCCCTGGGAAGAGTCGAGGGGTTAAGGGATAAACAAAAACAAAAAAAAAACAAGGAGTCCCTCTCCATGTCTCCTAAGAGTGGAGAGAGGACCGTTTCCTCTCAGAGAACCAGGATCTAAGCCCCGATGGTAGCAACCGATGCTGAGATTAGGTTTTCAAGGGGAAATGTTTCCACTCTCCATGTAACCTTGGCCATGCCACTCACCATCCCTGACCTTCAGCCTGCTTGTCTGCCCACGAGAGGAAAAGGATCAGGCCCCATTCTAAGGGTCCCCACCTCTGGTTCTATGAGGAAAAGAGACCCACGGTATGTGTTCCCAAGAGAGTGCTGTCCCTGCTCCTGTGGTGGAGAAGGGTGCAGAGACAGGCATCATAGCTGGGACAGTTGGGCTCTGGAGGTGCCCTGTGCCCCAGATCAGCTGCTCTCTCTTCCCAGAGGCCTTTGGTGTTCAATTCCTCTTCCCACAAAGGCTGGATGCCAACCCAGGTAGGTTACGGGTCAACTGTAATGGCAAAGACCCTTCCTCCTCTCCTTCCCCAACTCATATTCTTAACCATGCTTCTTCTCTTCCTCTTCCCTGCCTCCAGGCACTCTACCCTAGCACTCTCTCATTCCCCAATTCCTTCCTCTCCACTCCATTCATCCTCCAGCCTCTCTCTCCAGCCCCTCCGGAATAATGCTCCCAAAAGAAAAAGTTTGTGTAAATTCAGCATTTTACCAATGCAACTAAGTGGTCTCTAGGTACTTCCTCTGCAAATGTTTGGTCTTCTCGGCCCATGTACAAGCTCCCCAAGGGCAGAAGCGCGTCTTACATATTACTTATCTCCGTGCTGGCTTCCAATAAGGCAAGCCCTGATGAGTCCTACTTCCAAGCCTTGGCCCACGCTGTTCCCTCTCACCCTCTCCAAACCCTAGCCTTCGCCCAAGGCACAACTCTAAAGCCTTGCAAATTGACTGAATGAATCGACCAACCCATCAAGGTGAGAACGAAGGCCCAACTTCACGGACATAGGTTCCAAGTCTTTCACGAAGAATTCCTGCAACACTAACCCAGCCCGGCCTGCTCTCTGGCAGCAGGTATGCAAATATCTCGGGGACCCCACGACATTCAGTCAATACCCTGTGACTTGGCACTCAATTATGCAGTGAGAAGCAGCCTGGCATCATGGACGAGGCTTGGACCAGGAATCAGCAGAGCGTGACTGCACACCTGACTCGCCCCCTCAAGTCATAAAACCGAACCGCAGTTTCCCCTCCGTAAACTAGAAACAGTACCTGCCCTGCTTACCTGAATGTGTTATGAGGGTCAAATAAGATGACCCTGGCCACCCATATGAAGTGGCTGTTATTATTCCAACTTTCTCATTGAGCGTTACACCACGTGGTCTTTCCTACTGCCAGGTCATCTCATCAGGGGCAAAGAAGCAAGCACCAGCTATACCCTCCCTGCACTTCCCGCCCCCCCGCCCCGTGCCTTGCAGAAAAGAGTACACAGGAAATGTCTGTGGACGAATGAATGGCAAGCCCCAGAAGGATCCCCTTCCTGGCCTCTGTGACCTCACCGGCTCTCCTCGCCCTCCAGCAGCTTGCGGTAGGTGGCGATCTCGATGTCCAGAGCTATCTTGACGTTCATGAGCTCCTGGTACTCCCGCAGCTGCCGGGCCATGTCCTGCTTGGCTCGGTGCAGGGCGGCCTCCAGCTCCTCCTTCTTGGCACGCGCATCCTTGAGGGCCAGCTCCCCATGTTCTTCGGCTTCTGCAATGGCAGCCTCCAGCTTGGCACACTTTAAGCGATAGTGCAGCTGTGAGCTGGGGGGCAGGCCTCGCCAGTCACTGCCTCCCTGCCTCCCCGGCCAGCACCAGGGCAACTCACTCACAGTGGCTTTCCTGGCACCAGCCTACTCCCCCAGCACCCGGGAATCCCAAGGATTAAATACATGGGCTCTGTCAGGGCGCCTGGGTGACTCAGTCTTGTTGGGCGTCCGACTTCGGCTCAGGTCACGATCTCACAGTTCGTGAGTTCGAGCCCCACATCGGGCTCTCTGCGGACAGCTCAGGGCCTGGAGCCTGCTTCGGATTCTGTGTCTCCCTCTCTCGCTCTGCCCCACCCCTGCTCATGCTCTGTCTCTCTGTCTCTCTCTCTGAAATAAGTAAACGTTAAAAATTTTTTAGAAAATAATAAATGCTATTAGGATGTACACGTGCCCATCCCCCCAGTCCCCAGCTGGAGGAGATCCAAAGCCACAGACAGGATCTTCGTTGAGTCCCCAAATTTCAGGCAGCTGGCAAGAACAAAAACCATCTTCAAAACAGGCCCAGAAACAGGGGGACTTGGAGCAGAGAGACACTGCTTGGAACCCCCAGACCCAAAATGTCTGATCAACAGCCCCCCTGGTCTGGGCCAGGTTGGTCAGGTTCACGATGGATCCAAGCGACAGATGCCACTTCCTGCCCAGCATGAATGAGCATTCCTTCTGTTTGCAGCTAGTCCTTGCCCCAGGAGGCTATCTAGTCCTGGGCCTCCTCTCGTGCAGCTCAGAGAGCTGCCACTCCCTCCCCTGCCCAGCAGCCCAGCACTCCCCCTGCCTCTTACCGGCCACTCCCTGCCTCAGACCCTCCCTTGTCTCCAGCGAGCTCTGCCTCCCTGCCAGCCTTCCCCATCCTCCGATCCTCCGGGAGACCCTCTCGTGTCCACCTGTCGGTGCCCTTCCCTATCACACCGGTGCCCCTTGGCCAGGGACTGGACCCCACCCCCCTCCACCGGCTCCTCAACACCCGCCCCCTGCTGGCTACACATCCTCCCTTTAGCCTGTCTTCATGGGAAGCCTCTGCCCCAGCCCGTGCTGAGAAGGAGCAGTGAGTCAGACAAATAGGGTCCTGCTCCAGGCATTATTTATATTTCAGTGAGGGTAGGGGACAGCCAACTACTTCATTAATAAGACAGAAAACTTCAGATAGTCATAGATGCTTCAGGAAGCTTCAGACACACTGCTGACAGAGTGGCTGGTGGTTGAGGAAGCCACCTCTGAAAAGGGGACTTGTGTCCAAAACCCCAGGGATGACGAAGGGGTGGCCATGTGCTGAGCTAGGAGAGCCACGTTCCACGCGGAGGGAACACCGAGTGCAAAGGCCCTGAAGCCTGAACGTGTCTGGCAAACGCAAGATACAAGAAGCAGGCTAGTGTGGCTGGAGCACAGTGAGAGGCAGTGGTAGGAAGTGAGGGACAGGACCTTGTGAGCCACACTAAGGGTATCTGCTGGCCTGGGTCCCACGAATCCCTGCAGATTGCAAGCTCCCAGGTACAGCACGTTGCACCCGGAGAGAGGTACAAGGAGAGTACCAATTTGGTAACGAATTTGGTAACGAATGATGGTTTTTCTCGGGCTGGGAAGTCTGAGGCTCCCTCCACAGGCTCTGTGCCCAGCTAGGACTCTTCTCCTCCCTTTGGCCTGAGCCAGGACCTGGCCACGAACATTCTCTCCTGGAGATCTCACAAGGGCCCTCGAGATCTCACGGGCTCGTGAGACTTGAGCTGCACCAGCCTCGGGCCGGGAGAGCCTCCTGCTCCCCGTTCTCGGATGGCTGCCCTTCACGCGCCCCAAGAAACAGGGGGGAGCAGGGAGGAGGGCTTGTTCCCACCTGGTTCTTAATGCTGTCGATCTCAGCCTGCAGCCTCTGGATGGCACGGCTCATCTCTGCAATCTCATTCCGGGTATTCCGGAGGTCGTCCCTGTGCTTCCCAGCCTGGGCCTGGAGGGTCTCAAACTGGAGGGCCACACAGAGATGTACGGTGAGGGGATGGTCAGCGATTACAGGGAACTCATCCTTGGTCCCATCCACCGAAGGCCCAAGGTTCTGAGTGATGAGACCTCCCAGCTTATCTTCCCAGGAAGCCACGGTCTGACCCCCAGCAATCTTCACGCCCTGCCAGCAAGCAGGGGGGTATAGCAGAGGTTTGCTTTCTTCCCAGTCAGGACAGGAAGGGCGAGGATGGCTCCCTGGGGCCCACCGCCATTGGTCCTGGGCCTCCGCCCATCCCATCATGTCCCAAGTGCCGGAGAATCACTAGAAGTCTGAGATCCTCACCCGTTAAACAAACCCCTATTAAAAACACACTTATTAAAAACATCAGCACCACCCATTTTACAGATGGGAAGAATGAGTCCTGGAGAGTGGGAGCCACTGCCCAAGGATCACACGGCAAGTCTGAACCCAGGTCGCCTTGTTGGCATGCCTGTGCTCTCACCTATGTCCCACGGATGATTCCCTATCTCAGCAGAGACATCCCTCTGCTGCTCTTACATGCTGCCTCAGGCTCCCTCTTCTAGAACACTGGTTTACCCCAGCACACTCCCTCAGCACCTGCACAGTCAGCCGCCCTGCCTCCACACGGCGTGTGCAATGATTAAACCTCCCCGGCCTGGAGGCCTAGGGCCCAGGATCTAGTCCCTACTCTTCCATCTACTAGCTGTGGAGTTAGGCAAATTGCTTAACCTCTCTGTGCTTCAGGTTCCTCTGCCCTGTCCCCCCATCAGGCTGGGATCTCTTCCCGGGGAGGGACTTGGCCTTCACATCTTCTTCTTCCCAGGGCGCTGGAGAGTACCTTAGACTTAACGCTGGTGCCTGCCCGGACAGTGGGACCCAGGCCCTAGAGGCTTGGAGACAGGTGAGGAGTAAGGGAAGCTGACACCGAGGACCCTGCCAAGAAGGAAAGAGTGCCCTCAGCAGCCTCACACCTTGGTCTGGTACCAGGCCTCGGCCTCAGCCCGGCTGCGGCTGGTGATTTCCTCGTACTGGGCCTTGACCTCGGCGATGATGCCATCCAGGTCCAGGGAGCGGCTGTTGTCCATGGACAGGACCACGGACGTGTCCGAGATCTGGGACTGCAACTCTGCCAACTCCTGCCGGGACCAGACGGAATGTCAGGACTCGGGGCATGACCCCACCCTGTTCCCACAACCCATCCTGGGACCCCCCCCCCCACTGCCACACTAGAGGAAGGCAAAGGGAGAAGAGGGAGAGGAAGGCAAAGTGGGTGTGGGTCACCAGGCGGCGAGGGGACACAGACCCAGCACCTGCTAAATAGTCCGCCCACCCCCAGCAACCCAGAGAGCCCATTAGTAACTTCTCAACAAAAGAGTCTGGTGGGATCACAGCCGATAGAGATGTGACAGAATGTGATGAACGGTAACGTCTCCTTCTGGGAGCTCTGCTGTGGCAGGAGCTCGGTCGAGAAGTGGATCACTAGGGGGTGTGGGTAAAATAAAATATCCCACCCGATAACGGAACTCTCTCCAGCCTTCAAAACGGATGATGTGGCTGTACTTATAGCTATGGTACACCATTACATGAAAAAAAAATACACTCCTGTTTTTATTTAAAATACATATGTCTAGGGGCGCCTGGGTGGCTCAGTCGGTTGGGCATCTGACTTCGGCTCAGGTCATGATCTCCCAGTTCGTGAGTTTGAGCCCCGCGTCGGGCTCCATGCTGACCGCTCAGAGCCTGGAGCCTGCTTTGGATTCTGTGTCTCCCTGTCTTTCTGCCCCTCCCCTGCTCGTGCTCTGTCTCTCTGTCTCAAAAATAAATAAAAACATTAAAAAATAAAAATAAAATAAAATATATATTTCTGTATCTGTCTGTGTGTATAGGCACAGTTCGCAAAGTCTGAGAAGGTAGGCACCAAGATGATAAGAGCACAGATAAATGACCTGTTTTCAGTTTTGCGCTTTACTCAATTTTCTGGATTTTTGGCCATGAGCGTGTACTTCTTTCATGATGCGAGGAAAATAATTAAATACACATATACGTATACGTAGGCACGCATACGTACATAGACGTGCATATATATAACATGCAACAGACGTATGAAGGGCTGCACAGAGATCAGAATGCCCGAAGGAAACCCCAAGGAGCCAGCCCCTGCATTAACACACGTGGAAATTCACTGAGGGGCTAATGGGGGCTGGACGTTCACAAAAGCTAGACTGAAAGCAGTTGAGAAGTGGTCTATAATTAACCTCATATGTAATAAAGTCGCAGACCAGCCCTGCCAGATGACTGGCCATCCTATCTTCCGCTGAAGGCCAGAGATTCCCACTGATAGGAGTGGAGAGTTTCTAAACCCCCAAGTGGAAAAAGAATTGAAAGCCCAAGGCAGGGGAAGAAGGAGAGAATGAGACCACAGGGGTAGACAGTGGCCTGTACTTGGGGGCCACCCATCCAGTCCCTCCGGGCGTAAACTCCTAGGCACCACAGTCTCTCCTGACTCAGAACCCCCTGCCCACCCCACCCAGCCCACCTCTGAACTCCATCACAGCCCAGGATTCCCTAGACATTCTCCTGGTCCCTTCCAGCCCCTCCCAACACCCCTCCTAACAAATGGTCATCCCATGTTTCTAGAAGGCCAATCCTAACTGACCCCACCCTGCTCTGCTACCCTCAGCCCCTCCTAAGCTCCCTGCCCACCATGGATTCCTGAATCCAGAAAAGTTAAAGAAGAGGATAAGGCCTACACACACACTCAACACACACCAAGACGGCCCAGAGGCAGGGGGTAAACCCCTTGATTAAGACACAGAAGACATGACACGTCTCCCATATCCAAGGTCCTTACCGTCTCATAGAGGGTCTTGAAGAAGTTGATCTCGTCATTCAGGGCATCCAACTTGGCCTCCAACTCCACCTTATTCATGTAGGCAGTGTCCACATCCTGGGGGCGGGGTGGGGGGGTGGCAAGAAGGGGTAGAGAGACACCATGGCTTCATACACGGACCATTTAGCCGGGATGGGAGCAACCCAGCTCTGTCCAACCCACAGGGTCAAACACCAGGGCCCTACCAAGAAACATAGCAGTTCTCCAGGCCGTGTGACCTGGCCACAGGACGTCTCCTCTCCTGGGCCCTCCCAGGCTGCATGAGGAACATCATTTCCATGCATCATTCCAGGAACCATACCGGTGTCTGCCTTCCCAGCACCGGAAGCCCAAAGCAGCCCGCAGCCCCAAACCTAGCACTCTCCCAGCTCCTGACTGGTGGTTTGGACACAGCCCTGGCTCTACCACCTACTAGCCATGTGACCTTGCACAAATCACTTCAACTCCGTGAGCCTCAACTCTTATGAAATAGAAGAGCACAAAATCATCCAGACTCCAAGATAAGGCTCATAGATGTGGAGGACCTCCAGCCTAAATGCAGCTTAGGTAACTGTGATACAGGTAAGCCACAGATAACAGTGCAAGCCCAGGTGTCACTGGGGAGCCACACATTCCTGTGCCCAAACTCCCGTGGGTAAGGCTCACTTTTATTCATCCCCAAAGCTCCTAAATCTTGAAAGGCCCAGCACCCTGGGGTAGGTTGTCTTCACGTGGGTGGGCCATGAACACAGTTGCCCAGAGAGTGGACTGAATTGGGATCTGAAATCAAGCCCTTGTAAGATATTCCTAAGGCCTTCTAACCTTGGCTTGCACTTCTCCAGGGACAGGAAGATCGCTCTGCCTCAGGCAGCCCATCGCATTCCTTCAGCAAATATTTCAGCCATGCCATTTGCCAACCTTTGTCTGTCATGCAAAGTTCTGACTGTGATAGAGCACTTCCCTATTTGGGCTTGAAATCTCCCCTTCTAACCTCCATCTTTTGGTCTTAGCTCTAACCCCTCGAGGCCAAAAACAAGTCTAGTGACTCACCCGACGTGCACACAAACACACACACACACACACACACACACACGTACACAGGACGGGCCGTGCTATGAGGGCCTGGCTTCCAGATCTGTCCTTTTCCAGGCTCATCACTCCCTTCTTCTAGTACTCGGGCCAGACTTTGGCCACAGGTCCCTACTGGCTGGCTGCTCAGGTGAGAGGGCCACGTGGTCCCCTGGCCCATGTGTTTTCGGACAATGCCCCCACCCGGTCTGTCTTCCCCCTCACCTTTTTCAGCACCACGAACTCATTCTCAGCAGCTGTGCGACGGTTAATTTCATCTTCGTACCTGCAGGAGAAGGAGGGTGCGTGGTATGGGTGCAGCTTTGCCTCTGTCCCCCCTCCTCTCCATGTGTGGAACTCTGCCCTGCATTGGCTTCACCCCTCCTTAATGACACGCCTGGGAAATTGGGTGTCAGCTGTGAAACCAAATGTCCCTGACTTTCCCTTATAGCTATTCCTAAGGCTAGGAATCTCGGCGCAGGATGAAAGGGGGGAGAGGAGGAAATGTATATAAAGTAAAAGACAAAAACTGCACAATCTAGGAGCAAAAAAGCAATAGTCATAGCCATGCTTAGGGATCCTTTAAATGGGGCCTGCAGTGTTAGGTGCTTCCCACGGATTAGCTCACTTAACCCTCACGACAACCCTGTAACAATGGTACCACGATCAGCAGGAGGCACAGAGCAGAACATAATCTGTCCAGTCACTAAGCTGCTAAGTGGCAAAGCCCAGACTTAAACCCAGGCAGTCTGACTCCAGGCCCATGCCCTAACCACTGCCTAATCCCACCCTCAGGAGGCAAAGAAGGAGCCTGAAGCGGAGGCAATTTATGAAATCAGGAAGAGGGTGCAGCCAAGTTCTGGGGAAGAACCAGGCCCCAGCTAGGTGGTCTGGCGCCAACCCTACTCCCACAGGGCAACCCCCCCATCCCTCCTTGTTCCAAGAGGCCAGCCCCACCCATAGGAGGACACTGGCAATTCAGGACACAGAGCAAGAGAGCACTGGAGCCTGACCCAGCATTTATTTGGAAACTTTTTTTAAAAAGGGTGTCAGAAACAGGAACTCAGCAGTGCCCGAGGGCTACAGGAGGGCAGCAGGGCAGCTGTGATGGGGAGCAAGCAGGCCCCTCCAGGAGCCCAGACCCCCAGCTCCCCGCTCCCTGAGGTTCTATAGAATAGTTGTGGAAATATCCTGAAGGCCATCTGTTCACTCTTGACTCAGCACCATGCCACTGAGAGCAGAGGGCACACAAATCGGAGCTCACTGGGCCCTCCCATGTGCCCTTTCCAGGCCTCCCTGGGCCCCAGTCCTGAGCTCAGCCTGGCATGTAGGCTCTGGAGTGAGGGTATATGTGAGCGCGTGCGCACACACACACACACACACACACACACACACACACACACGACAACAGAGGCTCGCTGGTTGCCCTGCACCTGTCTGCCTCCACCTGCTGTGGGATTATTGCTGTTGACTGTCGCTCTAG